TCAAAAGAAAAAGTCGGCCAAGTGCTGTGACAGCTTGATGCAGCCCCTCACTGTTTGCTCCTTTGTATCATTAATTCCAGCTTAACCAGTGCCCTGGATTCACTGCATGCTACAGGGAGAAAGAGCCAAGTTTCTCCTCTGACCTAGATGAAGAACAGCTATTTTCAGGTTACTAACTTGCACTTCTCTTTTGTTCTGCGTTATGCAAGGTAGGCCTGTTGACTGCCTTTTATCGCTACGTGGCATGATACCTGGAAGTGTACTCATGGGCTGAGATCACACCTTGACTAGACGTTGAAAAATAAAGGAAAAAAGAAATGTCAGTGTCCTCGTTGATTTACCTAACCACTGAGTAACAGAGTCGGGCTCCCTCTTTCTGTTGCTGCGCTGCCTCTGCATGGTACCTTCACTTACCATGAGTCCTTGGCGGCAGTTCGGAGCCCTAGATTCAACAGGTGGTGCAAAGCAAGGTGCTGGGATAACACAGCTCCAGGGCAGGCTGTTAGCAACAGAGCTTGCTAACGCCTTGGGCTGACAGCAGCAAGTCTGAAAGAAAGTATAGCAGCCGAATTGAGCCGTAGGCAGCTTCATAAAAACCTCTTGGATCAAGGGCATGCGTAGAAAGACATCTAAATTGTGGTGCTTTGGAAGAAGAGAGGTACACCCAGACCAGGTGATGTTTGAGAACATGCGTGCACCTTCCTTGGTTTAGAGGTTAGAGAGCTTGCACTCTGACAAAGGATGCAGCTAGCAAGTTTATGCAGTGAATGCTCTTTCTGGGTCTGCCACTTTGACAAATGCATTTAAAATGTAACTCAGCCTAGTGATCGCATTCCCTGCTTTCAAGAGAGATCAGTGCACAGAGATAACGCAGGGTCAGCTTGCACATTTTGCTGGTTCATTGGTTACACATTTCTAAGAGCATGACTGACTCTTCTCCCCAGCTGCCAAGTTGTTGCAGGCATAATGAATGTTAAAATGGTTACTAGCTGAGTTTAAGTGAACTTGTCTTTTTTTTGGGTAGAATGATTAAGAAACCCCACTACAATACTGCTGGCAAAAATATTCTCACAGATGCTGCACGCAGCACTACAAAGAAAGCCACACAGATAGTTGGAGCAAGCTGGAAAGAATACATTTTTCATCGCAATGCTGGAAATGGTTGTGCTGTTCTCTCCCACACACTCTCTTCATATAACCCCTTGTTTGGGAGTCTAATGAGCTGTTTGTATAAACAAAACCATGATTTCCAGTAGTTCTAACACTCAACAGTCTCAAAATAGGCAATGAACATTAGCTAGTTAATAAGCAATTTGCCCCCTGAAGACAAGGAAGTATGTAAGTTGGGAGAGCAAGGAGAGCTGAGGAAGAGAGACCGAGAAAGAAGTGAAGCTGAGAAAGAAGTGAAGCTGACAGTGGCGGTGGAAACAGGAGCAGAGTCTGACCCAGCTGCTAGGATAGCCTTCACAAACCACATGCTTCACATATTATCAAGGCATTTATTTGGGGTACAGCAGTGCACAACCTGGTAATGAACAGGGCTGAGGATATGCAAGAAGACTGAATATGTTTTATTGTGTATTTAAACTGACAATGGATTTTTTTTTTAATCAAAGATTAGAAGTACCCCATTGAAGCATGCATAATGTTGTAAGCATATGTATCTTCAAAAGAAAGACAAAATAGGCTTCACAGCTGCAGGAGAGAAACAGAATTGGGAGAATTAATGAGTTCCCCCAAATTAATATCTTAACATTGGGCATTATCTTTTCAATTGTTTTGAGACTTC